CAGAACCCAAAGTGCATAAAGAAGTCAGTTAAATTAGGAGGAGAAAGCATCATGGATTGGGGGATGTTTTTTGCAGCAGGAGTTGGGCTTTTTGTACAGTTACATGGCAAGGTGACTGCAAATGTTTATCAGAACCTCTTGCAGCAACATGTGGTTCCTTCCCTGTGAGTATCTCCCAATCAGCCTGCAATTTTCATACAAGCCAATGTCTTCTGTCACAATGCAAAATAGCTAAAGCAGTTTCTTGAAGCTAGCAGCATTGAAATAATGAAATGGCCAGCCCAGAGTCCAGACCTGATAGAGAATCCCTGACGACCAAGATATAGCCAAGAAACCCACTACAGATACCACCCTGTGGAAAAGATTAGAAGAAGATCAAACAAGATCAAACCAGAGCAGTGTGAGAAACTAGTGATCTTCTGCGGGTGTAGATGGGCTGAAGTCATTCAAAGCAAGGGCCTCTACACTTCCTACTAATGATTGAAAGCTGTTACTCTTCAAAAAATTTTGCCGAAATATTATTTTGTACTAGAAAGATTACTGTTCTTTAACTTTGACCAAAAAATAAAGGCTTTTTTGAAGTGCCTTGATTATTTTGATAAACATACTAGTAGAACAGTCCTTGAAATTCTGAGCAATGAAGGTTAACGATATTTCAGGAAAATCAAGTGCTCATATTTTTCTCTAATTTTGATTTCCACTGTAGAAATAAACCAGGTATCCAGCAAAAATACTTTATGTACCAAAAGCTACTGTCTGGTACAAGCTAAATTAAAACACTGGTGATCTCACTAATGGAAATTAACCTGGAATACCAAAAAATACTACTATAGTGGATAATCTAAAACATTCTTAAATGTGAAGGGAAAACCCTCGACAACCACACATATTAAACACATAAACCAGCAGCTACAACTGAATTAAGCCTATACCCTGCAAAACATCATTGGGTGCACTACCAAGATACAAATGAGTAGTATACCATAGGAACAGTATAGAAGGGTGGCAATGGTGTTTTGATGCATTTTGGTGCATTGTCACTGGGGTAGTGTTTTTTTTTTGTCACACCAATCAATTCAAGTATAAGTATACTGCATTGCGGTGCTATGAAATAAGGCTATAAAAGCAAAATAAAATATTATAGTCAAATAAAATAAAATAGAAGTAAACAATATAAAGAAAAATGGATATCACTGGATGTGACTCTTACACATTGAAAGCAAAATGGTTGTGAGCAGCCCACTGTCGGGTTATGAGGAAATCAACGCCACTTCAGTGCTTATTGCTTCCATGATTCACCAAAACAGCAGCATGGGGCACTCTGGATTTAATCTTAAACATAAGAATACAACAAATTCATACAGATTACTAACTTCTGGGTATCACAATACGCGTCTCAGTAATATTTTAAGCATACTACTAATTTTCTTTCCGAAACGTGGGTGAAAATAATGTCTGTATATGGCCGAAAACTAGTGTCCATTATCTAAAGCCCTGCAATGACATACAGTTTGATTTTGTTAAAATAAAATTAAGTTGAACTATTTAATTTTCTGGAGGAAAATTTATTGTTTAGATTATACAACCAATCGGTATATTTAGATTAATCCAGAGAAAAATAGTCATTAGTGGCAGCCCTAGAAACTATTCACCGTTCTAGCGGATGACAGCCTTTGCTTGTTGTGTATGATACTGTGTAACGTCACATGCAGCCTTCCTATTACACAATTACAGTTGGCTACATTTTCCAAATTTTCAATAGTTCCGGAAATCTTATCAACCAACGAAAAATAAAATGATAAAAAGCAAATTAGGGCTGCAACAATTCATCGAGCAACTCTGATAACTACAAACAAATCCTCGATGCAAATTCTTTGCTTCGATGTTTCGTTTAATCCACACAACTATGTACCGCTCATTGGTGTTTCACAAAGATGATTATTAGTGTCAAACAGTGCGCTTATGCTGCGTTTTGTGTAGCAGACCAGTAGAAAAAACAGTGGCGACACTCCCATAGGTGCCCATTGTAAAAAAGTTGGAGGAATTTCCAGCAAACTTTCCGGTCATGGGGATGGAGAATACAGACGCTCCTCTACTTAAGAACGTTCAACTTATGAACTTTCAGACATACGAAAGAAGAGGACAGTAAGTCCAAATTGTGTTCATTGGGCTCCAGTTTCCTATTTGCAACATCAATATTTTTTTTTCTGTGCGCCAATTCCACCTAGTACGACTTCTGGCCGCTACTCCCGCCGTGCAGCAGTAGTGTGCGTACTCCCAGCATCCTAGTGCTTTGTACTTGCGTATACTGTTAAAATTATGTTGAATAACGACTTATGTACATTTTAAGTTATGAACGGCCGTTCGGAACGTATCACTGGTAAGTAGAGGAGCGTCCGTAGTTCCAAACATTGAAATTCACATTCATTGAATCACATTCATTTCCATTGCTTACCAAGCACTTTAAGTGGTATGTTGATAAAATAAGATTTTTAAAAAAAAAAAAACATTTAATACATTAGCTATCATTAATAAACTAAATATAATTTTAATTTATAAGTGCTCAGCATTAGCTGTTAATGTTTAACAATTAATAATAATGACCGACGGTAGTTTAACAGCTACCAAGGTTAACGTTCCCATTTCACTGATGAGTTTATGAATCACTATTGATACAGGGTAACGTTACATATTAAGCTGTTCTGGATATCCACAGCTTCATAATTACAGTCAGCTGCACTACTACCATGTTAATACACCTGATTAAAATATCAATTTACAGCTCTCCGCAGGTCACATGGTTCAGCATGAATTTACTACCAGATTTATGGCAAAATACCTTAAATTATTTTGTGGTAATTTATTTGCCAAAAAAAAGTTGCAGTAAAGTCTCTGTAATTTTACATGTGCTTTTTAAGTGCTGCATTTGTAAACAGCATGCAAACAAAAAGTATTTTTCCCCCACATTACTTCATCTCTCTCATGTAGAATTACTTAGAATTTAATTGTAATAAAATAAAAACTTCTGTTTGTCCATATTGACCTATTGTTTTTTTCTCTCCCTTATTTACCCCCCAGACTTTGTCCCTTAAGTGCAATGTGTAAATGGGACCTTACATACAGTGGTAGTTTTTGCAATATGGCCAATTTGCCCTATTTAGCTTGTTTTGCGGAAAGAATGACAATGTATTTTGATCACCGGACACTTTTGAGAGGTGGGTGATTTCTATGACTTCTTCATTGTAAGTAACATAAGTGTGATAAATTGCAATTTCAAAACTCATCATCTGATGTGTAAGCAAAAAATGGACTACCCTATAGTCCCTAATCAATTCAGATCCACAGGGCTAGAACAGAAATAAAAATCCTACTGTTAAAATATTAGTGGAACACAACATACATCTTACGTGGTACCTTGCAACTAATATCCACCACAACCACATATATAAAATATTACAAACAAAACAGAAAGCAGCAAGTACTATATCTGTAGTATATCAATATCTGCATTTCACAAACACTAAAGCCAGTGTACTCAGTAACGCAAATGGGCCTTACATAACATGACACACAGTAAATATCAGGGAAAGAAAATATTAAAATGCAAATAGAAACAAATACAGACAAACAGACAGACACAGCCTATTCCTTAGGCCTACAATGTGTTAATGGATAAAGGGCACATACTACATTAGCAGTAGTTTAAAACAATAAAACGCTGGTAAAACAAAACAGACAGAGGTCCATAAGGGACAAATAAAAGAAGAACCCTTGTGAGCCTGAGCCTGTAGGGTGGAAGTGGCCTACATAGTCCCTGCAGTCCCAGTGGAGTGGTTTCTAGGGCACTGGTATTGCTCTACAGCGAGCAGATGTTGTACCTGTACCCACAAGAATGCTGTACCAGGTACAGTACACCTACTTAACCAGTTTACTATTACCTGGTCTCAACAACACTGCTGCACCAGTAATGTTTTAGTAGATTACAGGACACTGCTAAACTGATGAAAAACAGGAAGCACAAAGATGCAGCATCTACACTGGAATCATGATCACAAGAAGCATACGACCACAACTGGAACACTAAAAAGTTGAAGAAGAAAAAAAAGAAACATTTTTTTTTTTAACTGTAAAGGAAACACTACTACCCCATGTCTTGCAAGCAGGTAAAAATTTCCTTGTCAGAGTGCAATTATTTATTGCTTTGTATCAAAGTTGTTTTAATGGTGACAGAGCAGCAATAGAATAATGATCAAGCCTTACTGTCTAATAGATCTATGACTCTCCCCTGGTGGAATATAAGCACAGTCACAAGGAGTGAGGATGTGGTCATCTTCTTTCAGGGACAGCTGCGCATGAGCATGGGAGTACTGAAGTGCACAGAGAGGCAGGGCTTCCAGTATAAAGGAATTATGTCAATATGAAATTCTTTTAGAATCTAATCTAAGTTGATTTTAAATATGCCTGTTTTCTGCCTGATGTTCTTTATGTGTGCAAGCTGCTCCCCATTGGGCTCAACAATAAGTAACTTTTACTGCTGAAATATTACTGTTACACTGCTCCACAGCCTAAATTTTGTTTAAGCAGATATTTTTATATTTACTTTTGTCTCTTATTTTTCAGTTCAATGATAAGTTAAATCCACCACTGAAAGAGAATATCTATTTAGCTCTTATTAATGTAGCCTGGCTACTATTACTTAGCAGAAGTGTTGACTCAAACAGCAGCTAAGCATTTGAAATATTACTGTTAACCTGTACTTAACTGTAACACCTTGCAATAACCCAAATTCTAATCTTATTTTCAACCTTAAATAAACAGTGCATTGAAACAAGTGTCTGAAAAGAACATCCATGCTCAAGGTAGCTGTACCAGGCTCAGAAGTCAAAACACACATCGTTTGCAATCAAGGAAATGAGGTCGAAATGAGTTCAAGAAGCAGTGCGACACCAAGCCACAAAGAGGCAAAAACAGGAAAAAGATGGGGCCAAGGAGTAACCTACCAAAATGGGCCTGAGGGAAGGCCTGCCCGTGCAGGGTTCCAAACAAGCCTTGTCCAGCATGGCGAGAACAACCAGATAGAACTGTCAAAGACAGACTCCCTCTACTTTTCAAGCACACACAGACACACTGTGACCTGTCATCAATTATGGTCAATTTTAAAAGGCAACCACTTTTCTGATACTTCCTTGTGACAATAAGTACCATCAGCAGACAGAATATTATATCATAATAATTGTGTAAAATTCAGAATTTGTTTCACTTTTTTGTCATTGAGTACCCTATACCACAGAGTTTATGGGAAACACAGCAACGCAGTTGTGAAGAGTTTCAAAATGAAAGCACTGGTTGAATGACTCTTCTAGGTCAATTCGGTCTGCTAATATTAATGGATATAGGCAAAAATTAACTAAAAGCTGTTTCTTGAGATTTGCACCAGTATGGTTCCATAGTTAAGTAGTGCTTCAATGTCACAAGCTCCTACTATCCCATCACACCCCACACAACCCCCTCAACCACACATTCATTCCCACCGACTCCACCTGTGGCTGCCACAGCTGCTGCTCTGCCATTGGTCTGGAACGGATTGGTAGGGGCGGTTGCTGGGGCAACCGGAGCAGCAACAAAGGGATTTGTTGATGGAGCTGCTAAAACAATACAAGAAAAGCAGTAATCAGTTTTGAAAGTGACAAACTATAGAAGAAAAAAAATTGGCATGTAATTATTAATGCACCTATGTAGATGTCAAGTGACTTCAGTACACCTGCCTTCCATCTACTAATCCAAAGAAAATGACAAAAATAAGAGGGGCATTTACTCACCTCCAAAACCCGGGGGCATGCTGGGTATCACCTGCTGTACCTGGGCTGGAGTAACCCCTGTCACAGCACCATAGACACTGCTGAGGCAGAGGAGAGCACATTGACTGTTTGTTCAGACAAACAGACCAGCAGTTCAGACACAACAGGAACTGGCAGGGGGAGGGGGTATAAGTGAGAACAGCACACTGTTTGGATATGTGTTTTTCTCACATCACAGGGCAGTTATGTGTAAGAGATCCAATCTCTGACTTACCCTGGGGCAGAGCTGCTTGTGCTGTACACACTACTAGTTGGGGCAGAAGAACTGAAGACATTGTCCAGCTCAGCCAAAGCAGCATAGCGGTCGCCTCCACCCCCAGCAGATTGGGACTGAGGTGGCACTACTCCTGCTGAAGCCGGGGCAGAACTTATCCCACTAAGTATACTACCTCCTGGTGCAAGACAGGACACAGAGAGCGGGTCAGAGCGTCGGCCCTCTCAACCAGTACAGACGGCAGCAGCGACTTTACACATTCTCTGGCAAACACCTTAACACGATGAAAACTGTGCACCGGGACCCAACCCTGAAAGCAGAAACCTAGCGTATCACTACAGAAGATTCCAGTTAAACACAAATGTGCTGCCAAGAGGATCTACAACTAACACGACACGGTCAAATTAGTATTGAACAGCACGTCCCTCCTGACAAACACAGTGCTCTTTTATCACAGGTACAAACACAGCCCAAATAGACAATGCCGACAGTGTCGGTTGCGCAACAATTAAGACTGTTTATGTAAAGATGAATTGTGGCAAAAGAAACTTCCGGTGGGGACAGTTCTGCAGAAGTGGGCCCAAAAAAGTGTACAGAAGTGCTTTGGTTTTAGAATGAATGACATGACCTATCAATTCTCCTACCCTCTCCCCAACCAAAACCTTCTAAACTCACAAAATAATAAAGCCAAGGAGCGCACTCTGATTTATAGTGGGCAGATATATTTCAGGCAGAAGGCCACTGCGGCTTCTCTACTCTGCCCTTTGGCATCAGGATAAACCCAAGCAGGGTGGACATCTTTAATTCTGCAAAACAGGGAGGGCTGCAAAAAAAGTTACCTTGCTCAGGTTTGGCAGAGCTAAAGATGTTATTCAGGTCAGCCAAAGCTGTGTATCTATCAGCTGGGACGCTAGTGCTGTCTACAGCCGCTTTGGGGCCTCCTGCGGAGTTACTCTGGGAGGAACTGAAGGATCCAAAGTCAGCGCTACAGGATTTGGGGAAGTTTTCAAAATTTGCAAAACTGGCATTAGCTAATCCAGAGCTGCTACCTGTATGGAGGAGAAAAATGACACAGGTATCAAGAGAGAGCTTGAAGCTGCAAGGCTTCCATGCACTGTGTCTGTCCACTTTTTACAAGGCTCCTTCACATACACAGCATTCACAAGTGGCACAGCACTGCACCGGATACCATCACAACCGCCACTATGGAGTAGCTGTGAACAACTGCACCTTGACACTGAGCACTACCTTGGGCACTTCCATGATAAATATAGCGCAACGCTGTAACATATCCATTTTTAAATACAAACCTGTGATAGGTCACAGAAGGCTAAAGAAGTCCTGATGAATTACAGTTGCGCTGTACACATGTAGGTGGCATCTTACTTGGTACGAACCTTGGTAACTGTAAGCACTGAGTCTAACACAAATCAGTAGCTGAGAAAATGTTGCATATTGTATGTATTAGGTCATAGGTCATACCATGATAAACAAAACTGAATAATCGGCAATCATGGCATAAATGCAGAGGCTATGCTGTGCTGTTTCATAACAATAGTCCCAGCTAGGCTTGGGAAAAAGGCCTAGCTCAATTATAAAGAAAGGTGACAGAATATAGGCCAAAAAACGTCACTTTGCATTTAATTTCAGAGGAGTATAATACTGGGTTGGCGATAACAGCCCTCTCCTGGCTGCAGTCCACACCACACAAAGTTCAAACCCTTCATTTCATCTAGTGGCAGCACAATGAGGACCAAATGTATGATAATCAGAGAATAGTAGGGCTGTGGCATACCATACAGCTATGCTCGTGTCAGGACAATCGAGGAATTGTTAGGTGGTATGTCTTACAGACAATAAAAAATTCTAATTAGAAAGTAACATACTATTTTTTTTATTAGAGCCCATAAAACTGAATGGCAACTACGGAGCTCTTGGGAGATTAGGAAGAAAATATACTTGGATGATATTAGCTTATTGCTGAAAACTATCCAACATATTTCACCCATCCATCTTCTATGCAACTTAATACATGGTCACAATGAGCCTGGAGCCTAACCCAGAAAACAAAGGTCTTGAAGCAGGGCACACCCTGAATAGGGTGTCGGTCTATCTCATGGAACACCAAATTGCCACAACAAATGTTTTTAGACATCTTCAGATATGCTGCAGTTCAAAGATAAATGGGAAACATTTATTTATAGCATGTAAAATCAAACGCACTCACATACATACACACATCAAGCTATTATAAACTGACCAGTCCAATTACAGACTTGTATCATAAAGATATGAGGCTGAAACATGTCCTAGATCCTGTATTTCTTTGGTAAAATTAAATTTACGATTATGGCCCTTAGCTCTCTTTTCATCAACAGCTTCCAGTTAGATAAAGGTGGTATAGTATTAGATACAGAAAGACAAAGTGGACGAGCAAAGAGGCAGTGATGGAAACAGACAGGGCTGAGAGCTCCTGGGGGCCCAGCAAACTTACTGTGTGAGGTCAGAGGTAGCAGAACAGTGGCAAACTCACCCACACTGTGGCTGGATGAGAAAGCAATGAAAACTGGCAGCCAACAGGAGGGACAGGAAAGTGACAGAACAGAACAGAAAGCAGAAAAGAAACAAACAAAAGTGTGAAGTAAATTTAAAGAAACAGAGCAAATGGGAACCAAAAGCACAGGCCAAGCAGCGGTTAGACCACCTGCCAAAACAAAAGGGCTGTTCAGCACCAATACAGAACATTTAGTCGACCCACAATCATTGGCTGTGGTCATAATGCCAGACAAAACACATACATACTTTGGTGAAAAGGAAATCAAATAAAATGGACTTTTTTGGCGTGAACAACCTTTACTAAACACAAAAGAAAACTTTCATAGAGTGTTAAAGCAAGCAGTGCAACAGTTTCAGACAAACTCTAAAAGAGGAAAACAGAGAAACAAAGCAGGGAATAGTCTGACAAAATGGTCAGTAAAAACCCACAGGTCTCTGATACAACAGAAATAAACGTGAGGTAGCGGTTCTTCCCAAAAGTACAAGTAATCATTTATGGAAAAGCAAACAAACAAACAAATGAATTGAGACAAAAATCAGTAGGCCATATACTGCTGGAAAGAGGGGGGGGGGGTAGCTGCTGGCATGTATAATTCCTAGTGTTAAAGAAAATGTGTGTGTGTGTGTGTGTGTGTGTGTATAAAAAGATAATTGTCAAGAATGACAATGCATGCATATACTGAAGCATCTAAAGTGTGTTGCATGTGCATGTATGTGCAAGACGGTATACACAGGTGAGTGTAAGTGAAGAGAGGGCTGCAGGGGGCGCTACCTGTGTGTGAGGGCTGAAAAGCAGCCTGTGGTGCTGATGGGAATTGAGCCGTTGCACCAGCCTGTCCAAACGCATCAAAGTTTGCAAAGTCTGCATTAGCAGTATTCTGAGCTGCAGGTCATAGGGAAACAAACAGAAAAGTGATGGTTATGCCAACATAGGAATGGTAAACTTAAACATGAGCCAAAATGGACAGAGAGTGCACATAAGATGTAAAAAGCATGCAGTGGTATGGCTTAGGGTCCCCTCCTCATTGTGACAGCTGTTCACTCTCCTGGCCAGCAATCTGCTCCCATACACAGGACTAAAGAATAGACCTCTTGACCCATAATTCATGTGAGATTTGGATGGGAAAAGGCCAATCTTTGCCATCTTAAATCCAGAACTCGCGTGGGAGCTGTGCATCTCTGAATGTGTCTATTCATACCATATTTTCATTACCTTTTTAATACCATTACTTGGTAATCATGAAAAAGTGATTCTTAACTACATTTATAATAGCTTGGATATACATAAAAAATATAACCACAATATGATACAGTGATATAGTATGCAAACACCCTTCTCTCTATAACATTGGTTTGAATATATACGCGTGTGTTTTAATGTGCAAAACAGAATCTTATGAAAACTCATTAGCATGATTTAAGAGTTGTACTTGGTCTAACGGGAGCTAACGTTTACAGCACTGTGGTACTTAGATACACATGAGAGGCACACGCAGGAGATGGGGAGTACCTTCACATCAAGGCACAGAGTATCCTAACAGGGCAGCAGTCCGTTCCAGATTAAGCCCCAGCTATGCTCTTCTTACCTGGGTGGCTGTTGAAATGTGCAAAGTTTGCGAAGTTGGCAGAGCCTGCGGTCTGAGACGTTGAGGCAGCAAAGATGTCACCGCCCAGGTCACTGAGGAGGTCAAACTTCTTCTCCTGGAACTGCTGACCCATCTGTTGTGCCTGTGCACGGCTCACCACTGGGGACTGAGAGCAAAAAGAGAAGCACTTAACAAAACACCTGTTACATAATGGGGATTCAATGTAGAGCTGCACAATTACTCGTAAAAAAAACAGCGATCTTGATTCACACCTCTATGCAATCTCTAAAATACAATGATTCTTCTGCCTTGTATTACATCAGCTGGATCAAAAGAAGTGCTCCTACTTTTCCTCAGAGAGTCTCAAATGTCCCATAATTCTGTATTCTCTTTAAAGGGCGCATTTCCACTGCACAGGTACCTTACTTTTGATACTTCAAGAAAGTACCAAAACTACGGTACTTCAAGATGTTGTGTTTCCACTGGCGTAAAAAACGGTACCCGCACTTAACATCAAAGCGAAAGGCGGGATATTTTGTACTGAATTCAAAAACATGGCTGTAGTATATTATAAGGCTGGACAATGTGTGATATTAATACCAACATTGCATGCTGTGTACATGCAATTCTTACTTCACCAGTCGGCTAAATTATTTTTTTGTTACGGTACGTACATTACAGTGCGGGCAGTTTAGGTTTCGCTAAAACATTTTTACTCTGGCATAGGAAAAAAAACTTGCAATTTAAATAATTAGTGGTACCTAGGAACACAACTTAATTCATCCCAGATGGCTGATCGAGTTGTTGATTTGGTCGAGTTCCAAGTTGAATTTCCCCATAAGAAATAATGTAAATGAATTCATACTGTTCTAGACCCCCAAATGACTGCTTATTTATATGCTCCCTAGTTATCTAACTAATGATAAAAAGGGTTAAAAAGTTGTTCTAAAACTAAGCAAAAAAAAAATAATCATAATTCGCATTTTCTTTTAGAATTGTGTAGCCCTAGTGCAATGTAATGTATGTTGCTTCAAAGCTACATTATTCAATTCTGCTATAATCACACAAGATGACCCTGCAAATCATTTCCGCATGTACACACAGGACACTACTGAAATTTCTGCAAAATCAAGCATCAATAAATCTTATATTTTAAAGAACAGTACACCATACTGTTCACCTGGGTATGGAATGCTCACCTGACTAGGTGTAGTCTTGTTGAGGTGCAGTGTGGGGGCAGATTCCCCAAGCAGTGACTTGAGGGGTCGGACCTCAGGAGTGCTGCTGGTGCTGCTAGCTGAAGATCCTGAGATGGAGGCATGGACAGAGGCCACGACCTTGGCCTGCTCTGGGGGAACAAACCTGCAAAGTTTGAGAGGAAATGACAGATGAGGCAATAGGAGACAAACTGCATGCAACAGGCAGAGATGGATATACACAACGCATACGGTACCAGCTTACCATCTTTTCTTCTCATACTTTTCTTGAAGAAATTCTTTTACTTTTTGTGGTTCACGGAAGTCTGGAACGGCAGAGGTCCTGTCATCATAAAGGCCTAGCCATATTTGTTTGCACACCTATAAGAGAATGGGAACCAGATGATGGGGAAAAGTAATATTTGCAATTAAAAAAATAAAAATACCTTTAAAATAATAAAGTAAACTAAACAGATAGAACTCTTTCACCTGAGTGGGCCAAAAGGGCAAAGTGTCAATCACAGAAAAGGGTAGGGTTAGGGCACAAACACCTAGAACCCTAGTTATCTCTGTATGTATGTATATGAAACTTTTGTCTTATTTTTCTTATTTGTTGCCATCTTCATCCTGGAAGAAGAGATATTGTATCTTGGTGGAATCTTCCTGGTAAAATAAAGGATAAATAAAATAAAATAAACGGTTAATGTTAAGGTATGCGCCGGCCAAGTTAACATTTCTGATAAGTGTTTAATAGTTCAGTGTTGCTGGAACGCCAGCTTTACTGACCTTGCAAAATTTCTCAAAGACCGGGATGTCAGTCTTTAAGATGCTTCGCCAGGTTTGACATGCTACTTGACTTCCTCGCAACACCTCTGTAGAACTGTTTGCATACAGGCTTATCGACATCCTTAGCCTTTCCATGCTCGTCTGCAAAATACTTCCAAATGGCACTTTTGCGTTTTTTAAATTTTTCACTAAAGCACCTTGCGAAGTGCCTTCAATTGAAGCATATGTCATGTTCGGCCAGCTCGGTATGTGTGTGTTAACCAGCGTGAATATGTTCAGCGGCTATTGAGAAGAGGGGAGGGGCTGCGTGTGTGTGCGTGTGTTCACGCGTGCCGGTGCCTTAGTGGTGCTGTGTGAAGTGTGGTGAATGAGGTGAAAACCGCACTTGTTATCAATAATGATGAAAATGAGTATCTAATCAGATACTAATTTTTAATATCGATTAGAATCTGAGAATCAATTTTTGACAACCCCAGTGTCTTATTTTCAATTCCAGCGTCAGCTATATCTTCCGTTTCTGATCTTTCGCAGTACATTTTTAGCAGTGCAGCAGTGAAAAAGGTCCCACCTTAAACAGTTTCCAGCTGCGCCACTTTCCGAACGTTGTGTAGGCTATTTAAACCGGTATTGTGGTATAAGAAAAATTCATATCATAACAATAATAAAAACGGTTTTCGGTATGAACTGGTATATCGCCCAGCACTACTATACGCCCCTGATGCAGGTATAACAAAGAAAGACGACATGGTTTACTTTTTTGCCTATTTAACCTAATTTTTAAAACTTTAATACTTCTGACAATGAACGTTTTGAAAAGACGACAGATTATGGATTTAGTCCGCATTTTTTTCATATTTCTACAATAACAATTCAGCCAGTTATGAACTGAAATATATGAGAAAGATACACAGCATCGCCGACGATGCCCTCGTCCCCAGAGGGTTAAAAAAGATAATCACGTATTACAACTGTATAGTCATTCAGAGACAGAACTGACTAAGAGAGACACTACCTCATTTCTTAGAATGGGTTCCTTCCAAAGCTAGACACAAATCATTGAACCTATTACTTTGCTGGACCAGGCATCAATGTTGTGAATGAATGAGAATGATTTATAGGTGTAAGCGCCCCAGTAGGCCCGTTTGCCTTTATGTCAGCCCATCATGACGCGTCTCGATCTGTACAAGTTTAAGCAGGTCTGCTTTGTTTTGTCATGTCCCTAGAGTTCGGTTGAGTTGTGGTTAGATTTTTCGTGAACGACCCGTTCGAGGTCCGTATTGGTACAGTTCAACGCATCTCGACCCATACAAGTTTTAGCAGGAATGGTTCAGTTCCAAGATTTAGGTCAAGGTACAAGTCGAAAAAAATTCAACAGACCAATTCCATGTTTAAGTTGGTCAAGAGGCGTTCGAGTACCAAGATTCTACTGTATTCCTTTTCAAGATTTAAAAATCAGTTTAAAGCTTACCTCCGCTGCATTTGAATACTGCATGCATTCTCCAAGACAATCATTATCGTTTTCATCCTTGCTGTTTAAATCACTCCTAGATGGGTTTGTGAGAAATTTATGTTGAACTCCCTTTTTCGTTATTTTAGAATGGGTTCCTTCTAAAGCTACAGACAAATCACTGAACCTATTGCTTTGATGGACACCTTTGACCAGGCATGTTTTGAACGAATGAGCACTTAGTCGACAGAGTAAGAGAAACGACCAGCAGTACTTCAAGCTTTTGTAGAGGCCAACAAACCAAAAATTTCCAGAAGCCAAATTAATTAGTGCATATAAACCTTACAGAATAACTGAATAAATGAGAAAAAACCGAATAAATGACCAAAAAGTTAAAAAGGAAACAATTTAAATTATTAATTGATGATGACAACCACAAATATTGTGGCTGGCTATTTTTAGAATGCAGGTCAACTGAAACCACATAACAGATACCAACGATTTCCAAATACATTCAGGTTTACTGGTATGGTTTAGAAAGGGAATAGAGGCCTGTCAGAGTTTAGAGAGGAAATAAAAAAAAATTGAATTAACTCATAGGAATGACTATGGCTAATAAACAAAATTGTTTTCATGGAATATGCCTCACTTTTATTCAAAAAGAAAAGTTTTAATCATCTGGCTACCTAGATGACTACCACAAGATATTTCTTAGCCTGAATGGCTTCAGTAAAGCAGTTGTTGGGAAAAATGGGTACTATTGTAAAATAATGTCAGAAAAAAATATAACCTAAAAAGCTTGTGGGAATATACTTTGTTTTTAAAAAAAAAAAAAAAAAAATTAATTAAAAAAAAGAATCTACACACAAAAAAATTGCAGAAGTGAATTCTATAACAGTATCAATCTATAAATGAGCTGTATATATGAATGAATTAGCATGACCAAAAGCCTTCTTTGCCTTATGCAGTGGGAACAGTAACAGAGCTTCATTCATTTGGCTTTTTTAATGTGAACCAAGTATTACAGTGTTGAAACTTTTGCTCACCATGATGATTTGAAATCTGAAGGACTAATGGTTCATATAATGCAATCACAGTAAAGGGGCTGAACTGCTAAATGCACATCGCCTTGTTTAGTCAAATGGATTGTCCATTTTAGAGACCGAATTAAGCACAAAAAAGATATAAAAAAAACAGGATCACAGAAAATCATAAGAAAGCCGGGATATCATTTAATCAATAATTATTCAAGAGTAACAAATTGTGAAAGAAAAGAAATTTAGGCCATGATTTTAAAAGTTGGTCATTCAGTAACCATGACAACTGCTCTTGCCAAATAGCTTCTGGCAAACTAGGCTCCCCAGTGATCTGTGAATGCTGGCCAAGATCAGTCAATTTTTATTTTTATTTATTCATTTATTTTACCTGAATACTGTGACTTCTAGTTGTGACATGTAACTCTGAAACTACACCTATTAATTTTTTTACACATTCCACTTACAGTACTGGACAAAAGTTTTAGGTAATCAGAAAATGTTTAAGGCTGTTTATCTGGGTAGTAAATGTATATTTGCTCAGAAATATAAAACACAGTCTAACATTAGAACGTATGCAAATTAAGAGTAACACAATAAAAAATGAGTAAGAATTTATTCTGTTCTCCAAAATGTTACTGATGTCTTACTGGACAGCTAAAAGAAAGTTCCCAATCCTCTCCTCAGGAATACCCCAGCCATTCCATATAGTCATTAAATTTCACTACCAGCTCAATTGATTAACTTAGTTAAAACCTTTTATGAGGTATTGATTCACCAAATATGGTATGCTAGTGATCGAGTCAAAAAAATACATGGGTGTACCGGAAGATTATTGTACTAAGTACTGAGGTGACTTTAGAAGAGGTTTTGAAGTTGGCACACTTTTACTGACATATCATTATTGTTTAAGACCAATATGAAGATTATTTAACCATCATCTCTACTGATTGCCTAAAACTTTTGTACAGTACTGTACATACCAATTAGCCAAATCTTTCCCCACCATAAGGTTTTTACCTGCATTTCTTTAAGTATGTCAATGTCCATGTCTTGAAGTGGCATTTATTATTCATATTTTATATGCCTAAATATTAATATTCTATTTATTTCTTATTTGCACTATGAACACATTTCTGTAACAGATACACTAGATTTGTCATGATTCGGCATTTGCTCCAAGGTTGATTTAAAACTTGATTTTGCATTCTCAATTTCTCAAAAATTTGGCAGAAGGAAGACTGTGCAAGGTGGATGAAGGTCCAAATAAAGAACAAATTTCACATTGAAAGTGAATCAAAATGCAGTCTGTCAGTATTGCAAGGCAGAACTTAAACATCACAACATGCAATTACATGTTAAAAGGAAGACATCCTGATTTGACAGACTCACCCAACAATGTGAAGTTAGCCATAGATACTAGAGCTGTAATCGGGCCTTAAAAGTTAGGCCCGACAAGGCCAAGCCCAACAGAATTCGTCCAGAGCCCAAGTACATTTTGATTGACAGCTTTTTAAAAGCCCGAATCCGTTTACAACCCGGCATTATTCAAATGTGCGCACGCACACAGCTCTTTTGCCTTTTGTCAAGAATGAGTCATTTATACATTTTTAACATCATTTATTCATGACTAACATAGGCTATAGGCCACTTGGAAGTTGGAACAAAGAAATAAAATAAGTCCTCTGTTAACATCATAACATCGCAGCACTATAAATAAGCCAACATGTCAATAAAATTAAGATAAATTCTAAATTAAGATAGGTATTTGGCATAACGAAATTAAGATAAAGGCTCCGCGGGATTTGCTTCACCACTTCTCTCCACAATCCGACCTAAACGTGATGGTAAACAGCAGCTGAAATTTAATAAAAGAATAGTGCCAACATTACCCTATATACTCTGTCTACATTATACATTTAAGACTCAATTAAAATTTAGTTATAATTAGAAAAACCTTTACTGACCAAGATTAGGCTACATGTTTTTGTGGAGGAAAGTTACTGAACACTCTTTCGCTGCTGCTGGCCGGGATGCATAGTACTGATCTGGCTAATTGTACAAGTTTTCGGTAGGTGTCTGTCTGTGTCTGTCTGTCTGTCTGTCTTCCACCA